TGAGCCCTACGCAATCCTGAAGAATAGAGAATTTTATTTCAACTTTTAAGTAGTAGCACCACCACCCGAATGCTATCAGACAATTGAAATTTGTTTTAAAAATATATAAAAAATGTATTTCTTCCAAAAATAAAAATTCTAATCATCCAAAAATCACCTGAGTTCTAGTAGGGACTGAGCCCTACGCAATCTTGAAGAATAGAGAATTTTATTTCAATTTTTAAGTAGTAGCACCACCACCCGAATGCTATCAGACAATTGAAATTTGTTAAAAAATATATAAAAAATGTATTTCTTCCAAAAATAAAAATTCTAATCATCCAAAAATCACCTGAGTTCTAGTAGGGACTGAGCCCTACGCAATCTTGAAGAATAGAGAATTTTATTTCAATTTTTAAGTAGTAGCACCACCACCCGAATGCTATCAGAAAATTGAGATTTGTTAAAAAATATATAAAAAAAATATTTCTACTAAAAATAAAAATTCTAATCAACCAAAAATCACCTGAGTTCTAGTAGGGACTGAGCCCAAATCAATCTTAAAGAATAGAGAATTTTATTTCAATTTTTAAGTAGTAGCACCACCGCCCGAATGCTATCAGACAATTGAAATTTGTCTAAAATGAAAATAAAAATTTATTTCTTCCAAAAATAAAAATTCTAATCATCCAAAAATCACCTGAGTTCTAGTAGGGACTGAGCCCTACTCAATCCTGAAGAATAGAGAATTTTATGTCAACTTTTAAGTAGTAGCACCACCACCCGAATGCTATCAGACAATTGAAATTTGTTAAATAATATATAAAAAATGTATTTCTTCCAAAAATAAAAATTCTAATCATCCAAAAATCACCTGAGTTCTAGTAGGGACCGAGCCCTACGCAATCTTGAAGAATAGAGAATTTTATTTCAATTTTTAAGTAGTAGCACCACCACCCGAATTCTATCAGACAATTGAAATTTGTTAAAAAATATATAAAAAATGTATTTCTTCCAAAAATAAAAATTCTAATCATCCAAAAATTACCTGAGTTCTAGTAGGGACTGAGCCCTACGCAATCTTGAAAAATAGAGAATTTTATTTCAACTTTTAAGTAGTAGCACCAACACCCGAATGCTATCAGACAATTGAAATTTGTTTTAAAAATATATAAAAAATGTATTTCTTCCAAAAATAAAAATTCTAATCATCCAAAAATCACCTGAGTTCTAGTAGGGACTGAGCCCTATGCAATCTTGAAGAATAGAGAATTTTATTTCAACTTTTAAGTAGTAGCACCACCACCCGAATGCTATCAGACAATTGAAATTTGTTAATAAATATATAAAAAATTTATTTCTTCCAAAAATAAAAATTCTAATCATCCAAAAATCACCTGAGTTCTAGTAGGGACTGAGCCCTATGCAATCTTGAAGAATAGAGAATTTTATTTCAACTTTTAAGTAGTAGCACCACCACCCGAATGCTATCAGACAATTGAAATTTGTTAATAAATATATAAAAAATTTATTTCTTCCAAAAATAAAAATTCTAATCAACCAAAAATCGCCTGAGTTCTAGTAGGGACTGAGCCCAACGCAATCTTGAAGAATAGAGAATTTTATTTTAATTTTTAAGTAGTAGCACCACCACCCGAATGCTAATAGACAATTGAAATTTGTCTAAAATGAAGATAAAAATTTATTTCTTCCAAAAATAAAAATTCTAATCATCCAAAAATCACCTGAGTTCTAGTAGGGACTGAGCCCTACGCAATCTTGAAGAATAGAGAATTTTATTTCAATTTTTAAGTAGTAGCACCACCACCCGAATGCTATCAGACAATTGAAATTTGTTAAAAAATATATAAAAAATTTATTTCTTCTAAAAATAAAAATTCTAATCATCTAAAAATCACCTGAGTTCTAGTAGGGATTGAGCCCTACGCAATCCTGAAGAATAGAAAATTTTATTTCAACTTTTAAGTAGTAGCACCACCACCCGAATGCTAATAGACAATTGAAATTTGTCTAAAATGAAAATAAAAATTTATTTCTTCCAAAAATAAAAATTCTAATCATCCAAAAATCACCTGAGTTCTAGTAGGGACTGAGCCCTACGCAATCTTGAAGAATAGAGAATTTTATTTTAATTTTTAAGTAGTAGCACCACCACCCGAATGCTATCAGACAATTGAAATTTGTTAAAAAATATATAAAAAATTTATTTCTTCCAAAAATAAAAATTCTAATCATCCAAAAATCACCTGAGTTCTAGTACGGACTGAGCCCTACGCAATCTTGAAGAATAGAGAATTTTATTTTAATTTTTAAGTAGTAGCACCACCACCCGAATGCTATCAGACAATTGAAATTTGGTAAAAATTAGATTAAAAATTTGTTTAAATACAAATTTAAAAATTTTAATCACCTGAAATTACCTGAGTTCTAGTAAGGTATCAATTTGTAGTCAATTTGTAGTTAATTTGATTAATTGGCAATTTGGTTTAGTTTATTTGCAATTTGCTGTAGATGAATTTTAAAGACATATCAATTAAATTGTGTTAAAAGGAATGAAAAAACTGCCTTTCGCCGATCTAAATCTACTAATGGAGATGAAAAAAGTCACTGGCGTCTGACAAATTTTGGTTAGAATGACTACGGTTTGTAGCAGTTGAATTATAGTAATCAGTTTGTAATAGTTTCTAATAGCAAATTAAATAAAATCGATTACACATTTTAGTAATTTTCAAAAGACGCAATAAATTATGAATTTTTGTTAAAATCTGCATAGTCTTCTTTTTTACTTCCTGATTTTTAAGATGCATAGAATAAGGTTAGTTTACACCTGCTGTTAAAGCCGGATCCTGGTAAAGTATCAAGGTAATCATTGTACATTGCTTTATCTTCTTTGTCTCGAGTAGATAATCATCGAACGATTTGTTGCATTGTAGCAAGTAGCGCGCTTTGCGTGACAGTGGCTTGGTTATTGCAAAGTTAATGGCCGATCGATGTGAAGGTTGCACGAGGTTCAGAGAAAAGAAGAGAAAAGAGAAATGAAGAAAAAGAGTGACCGTTATTTAACCAATAGGGATCGAAAGGTTCGTTACAAGAGAGTGAGAAAAAGGGCGCGGAATATAGAGTTTGCTATCGAATAGAGGCCCTAGTTGTAGAAGTATACATGCTCCTATAAGCCTTCTTGGTTATTAAGACGTTCCAACTGAAATATGACGTTCAACGGAAATAATTACTCCACGTTCGAGCTTACTTGCGCTCGAGCGCACCCAACGGCAGCGCGCCAGCAACTTTAATTTATGACCCGGCTATTTTAAATTGCGAGAGATAGAGAAAAAGAGAGAGAGAGAGCGCAACTTCTTTTCTCCTTTCCCAGTTTTATAAACGTTATACATCGTGTGCGCAAATTTTTCCCAAAAATTCAACCACCACTCCCCTTGGGGGCATGAAACTTGTTTACTCAACGACTTTCCGTTTGCAACTTAAGTAGTTCTAGTATTATTATATGCTAATAATTTTCAAAACATCTTTTTCTCCATGGAGTTTAAATATGTCATTTTATTCCTTGAACGTATAAATAAAATAAATAAATACCCACATTTATTTCGTCATTTTTTTTTCAAAACAATTGTATGTTATTATTATGCACTTAGGAGACTTGTTATTATAAAATACAATAAAGAGAAAGAAAGAAAAACAATTCTAAAAATCAAAATGCTGTTTTAAATTATAAACTATAATAATTTGATAATTATGTCTTTCGTTCATTCTGATTCATTCTTTCCGCAATTTGAAGTTACTTTTGGTGTATGCTTTTGTTTCTTTTTTTCTTTAAAATCGCAAATTTTTTTCTAGAACACGCAAAAATAAATTTCAAAGAAACTTAAGGAAGCACACTTTAATTTAATAATTTTTGTAGTCTGCAAATCACCTGAGTTGTAGTAGGGATTGAGCCTAACACAATCCTAAAGTCTTCTCCTGTTTCTCGTCTAATAGGAATAATAATAAAACTAGTAAATATAATAATAGAACTAGTAGTTATAATAATAGTAATAATAAAAGATAAAATTGCCACAATTCAGAAACGTTTTACACAACTGACGTTTTGATAGGTTCTCGAGAACCATTCATTACTAATGTTCTACACATTCGTATTGTGTTTCAATTTGTGAAACAATCTCTCATGGACACTGATAATTTATGAACGTCCACTAATAGTTGGTTCAAAACGGGATTTCGATTATCATCGTTGGGTTTTTAGACGGCAAAATCGCGATTACGCATGTAGTAATATGTATATATATATAAATAAAACATGTCTTGAGACGTAACGAGGCTTTGCCCCCGAGTGTGCCTCTCTTCTCAATTGGATTTTTCTCGTTTATTCGTTTAAGTCGAGAGGTTTAGAAACTTAAACAGAAGAGAAGCCGCTCTCTAAAGTTTCTTCGCGGTCTATCTTGGATAGTTTTCTATGCCGTTAATGGCCAGCAAGCAATTATTGTCTTAAGCCAGGTGGTCTGTACTTATTAGTACCATAATACAACCAAGTTATACGAACTAGACATTATGTACATAAATGTACTCGCAGCGAAACTTAACGATACAGAATAAGGGGTTAAGAATAGGTCGATTTACGCTCATACTTCGAATAAGTGAAAACAGTTAGATTATTGATGAAAATTCAAATACATATTTAGACTTAAATATTGTTGTCTTCTTTTGTTTCGCGTAAGTGAATCTGTTAAAATTTAAGAACATTTTTGGGAATATTATTAATAAAAGTTCGAGTAAGATAGAAAATTCTGATGCAATTTCTTCATTTTTGAACCTAAGCACCATTGGCAAAGTATTCTTTTTGAGAATGAGTTTAATTTAATTTCTCAGTTTAGAATAAATTGATGATTTATTTAAATGGCGCGAGAATTGATTAATGTATCTTTAATAATACTATAATAATAAAATATTTTTATAAAATTCTAATGGAATAATTTTACAACATTTTTATTGAATATTTTTTATTTATTATTTCATCAACTTGTACATAATGTAATATTAGTTAAGTAACAATATTTTGCATGTTTTTTTTAAAAAGAAATATCCCCTTGCTGTATTATTAAATATTTCAAATAAGATAAAAAGAAGCAGGGTACATGTATTATTTTTGTTGCGTTTCAAAACTTTGTACGCTACTCACTTTCATCCCCACTACTTGATAATAATGGAAGGTTGTCAAAATATTTCTCTTCCATCTTTTTATACTCTTCAATCTTATTCGCCATATTAGTAATCCAGTTTGATTTGTTGAGAATAGGAGTAGTTTTCGCTTTTATAAATGATGTTAGTCCAAAGAAAGTATCATAAATTAATCGTTTTTTTAATACTACAAAATCCGTACGAGGAAGAAGCACATACAATTTCTTGTCATTTTTAACGACTTCTTCCAAATTAACTATCACTCTGGGTTCGGTAATTACAAATTTATAAGATACCCAGTTGGAAGGATTGTTGTCATTATAAATAGGAGAATTTGAGTCTGATTCTTCAAATACGTTATGGCTTTTGAAAAACCAAAAGTCGGAAAGTTTAGAATGGCTTCCAACTTCAAATCCATTTACGTAATTCGCATCGCCACGTACTCTAATAAAGCAATTTTTTGGTGAAAAATTGAAATTCAAATTTAAACTATACTGTCGAATAGCCAAACTGTATAATGCTGTTTTTATTCTCCAACCTACGGGATTTGGTAAAAACATTTGATTACGATCTATTAATAAAACGTTTATAGCATAATAATCCTCCAATGAAATAAGTTCATTCAAATTTGCTGTTTTATAAAAATGAACCAATTTTTCAATTGAAATACTTGGTGAATCTTTGAAGATTGTCATTTTAAGGTTGGTTGCAATTTGATAAGTTATTTCTTTTTTTAAAGGAATGAAGTCAACAAGATTATTATAACGCAAAATTTCATAAAATTTTGGATTTTTTAATTTCATTGTCTTGCTCCATTCTGGCACATTTCCAGTTTTATTTAAATATTCAGCAAATTCAATCAATTCATGGCTGTTCATAATATATTGACCTAGAAGCTCAGATGCTTCTTCTGCATTATATTTACGGAGATATTTAGATGCTACCAATTGTTTCAGGGTTTTTAATGCAGTAAACTCTTTTTTTCGATCATTTTCAGACAATCTCATAGATTCAGTTACTGTTAATGCAACGAGGAAAATTGTTATATTTCCAAGGATAATAATTGTTTTCATTTTTAATAAGTATTGGTACAATTACTCTTGATTCTTTTGCAATTTTCTTGCTTTCTTTTCAGGACACTTTTTGCCTCTATGACGTTCAATATTGACGATCTATAAATTTTTATTTAAGAAATATTTAATTTCATTAAATTATATTATTAAAAGTAAAAAAAAAAGAATAAGTAAATTTCAAACACAATAAAGTTTTTTATTTTTAAACAGGAATAGTTTTTTATTTTGCAGAAAAAAACAGTAGATAAAACATATTACTAGATAAAGATTTTAATTCTTTACTAGAATTATGCGTAGTAAGAAAAAGAAAATCGTTCAAAATTATTTTTTATATTCTTGTCCATAAAATGTTGGAAGGCAAAATAAGATTAGTCAACTTGAGTATGATAAAATTAATATGTAGAATTTGTATTTAGAACTTGGAATATTTTTAAACTAATATATTTTTGTTTCTTAATTTTTGAGCATTGAAATCATCTTCTATTATCTAACTATATAATATTTTCTACTTAAAATTGTTCTTGCACATAACTTAAAAATTAGTTATATTATTTTTTTGATAAAAATGTTAAGTTTCACAAAATACAAAAGTACTAATTAAAATAATAATATAATAAAAATATGAATATTTATATGAGAATAGTATTTGTATATTAATTTAAGACATTTTTGTTTTTAATATCTTAAATATTAAATTTATAATATAATAATAAATTATTAATTATAAAATTTGTATAATAAATTAATTTTTTCGATTTTTGGAAGACGCATATAAAAGGTAAAAGTAAAAGAGTGTTTTTCTTTTACCTTTTATATACGTCTTCCAAAAATCGAAAAAATTAATTTATTAAATAATTTTGAAAGAATTTACTAAATATTTATAAAATTTATAATATAATTATAAATTATTAATTATAAAATTCATAATTATTCAAATTATAAACTTCTTCCATGTTATTATTATTAAATTTATAATATAAAATTTCAGAATGTCTTACCTCTTGAGCAGTTGATATTACTTCTACTTTTAGTTTATGACAAGCATTCTTTTTAAAGCAATACACATTGATAAACAATTATCAATTCTAAGCGGAATATACAAAAATGTACATTTTTTCTGATTTTACTGTTTTAAAACTAATTCTACAAAGAAAAAATTATTTTTTATCATCGAGAGAGACCTTGTAACAATATTAAATTGCAGTGTACTTTTTTTATAAAATAACAAACATATTAAGCTGGAATATTGGGAAAATTTTAATGTACAAAAATTTTAGAACTTTATAAATCTGAATCAGTGAAATTCCACTGATAATGTCAGTTATTTTTCGATTTTTCACTGATTGGCCAATTAAAAAATTAACAGAAAATTTCAGTCACGCATAGGAGAAATTTCAACTGAGATATTTCAATGATTCAATTTTCTAGAGTATTTGTTCAATAAATTATTCTAAAGCAATCTATCGTTTTTGAAAAAAAGGAAAAATGTAAATTCAACCTTTTTTTAACAATTTAATAACTTATTAGTAATTATGTTCTTGTTAGTAATTTATTTCATGTGGAAGAATTTAAGGTAATTACTTCTTAGGTAATAAAAAAAACAACTACATATATTTTTTGAAAAAAAATAAAAAATGGCGGAAATACAAGACTTTGAATTTTTTGGTACCTATTATTTGTTTAGAAAATCTGTAACTTTTGTTCTAATAATCCGATTTAAATTTTCAATATCGGAAATTGTGCAGGAAATATCATATTTTATAACAAATATTTTTAGAATTAGGAAAAAAAATTTTTGCATTATTTTTGACAAATTTGAAAAATAAAAATTGTTATTACGAAAATATCTATTTGTTAAAAATGATTGTAAACTGCTTTTAATATTCAAATATTATTTGAATATTTAAGTAATTTGAATAATGAATATAAAAACTAAAATTTTAACTGAAATTAATTTTTAAATCAATTTTTAATAGAAAATTCTACGAGAATTTAATTATTTAAATGCAAAAAAAATATTTTATTGAATAATTAAATACCTATTTCTTAAAATTAAATTCTCATAAAGAATTTTATCAAAACATTTTTAAATAATTGATTTCTTTTGACGATTTTTAATAAAATTGTTAAGAACAATTACATTTTTCGAGGAATTCGATTAAAATTGTATTAAAAATAATTGAATTCCTAAAAAGAATTTTATTATTTATGAAAATAATCCAATCCCTGTAAAAAATTGTATTATTTATTAAAAATAATTAAATTGTTGATTAGAGAAGCATTTATTAGAGAATTTATTTATTAATTTATTAGAAAAATTGTATTATTTATTGAAAATAATTAAATTGTTAGTTAGAGAAGCATTTAATTAAAGAAAATGGGTGTAAAATAAAATTAATTATGATATAACATTTGTTATTAGTATCATTATTTATTTTACACTTTCAATATATTTGTTAGTCCATAAAGAATTCCTAATTTATTGTTATTAATTTTTATTGTTTGATATAGCTTTTACTATAATTTGTTTGTATTCGTATTTATTTGTATTTATTAGAAATATTGTACAATAAAACTTATTATTTTGTTATTGTAATTATGCAGAAAGAGAATTTTAAGAAAATCTTACCTTTTCCAGTAAGTGGTTATTTTTTTAACTAACACGTAATTCATGACGAACATTTAAAAAAAAACACCTGCATTGATAAAAAAAACATTTAAATTGTAAAATTGAATATGATATTTTTCAAATATAGAAACACTTTTAAATTTAAAATTTTTTTTTTGCTATTTTCTTGATAAATTATTTTTTATTTAAGAGACAGTAAGTTTTTCATTTCTTTATCTTTATGTTTATTTTTGTATTCAAAGAAATATGTAAAAATCAAAAAGCGACAACAATCTTTATACTTTTCAATTTTATTTGTTAATTCAGTTATCCAGATGGACCTTTCATAAATTGGGGAAGTTACCATTTATGGTATACAAATCAATTAATGTAAATTGCTGAATATTTTTTTTTCGTTTTTCTCAATCGATCGCTCTCTGCAATAATATTTTACATTCAAAATATAATTTATAAAGAATTTGTATTGTACGAATTTAAAATCAATATCGTATGTTTATTTGATGATGCAAGAAAAATAAAATAAAAATTAATGTCTTTTCACTTCTTCGAGTTTTTACAATTCATGAAATAAGAGATCAATGTTTAATTTTTATAACTAAGTTTCAATATGATAAATATTCAATATGCAAAATAATTTTTGAAAATGTTGTTTACTAAAATAATTTATTTACTAATTGAAATTTACAAAGTATCAATTACAATTTCTGAAATAGTCTAATATTTTCAGCAATTTTGCGAATAGTCTTTTTTATTTTCAATCATAGAAAATACAGAATCAATGTTTTTTTATATTATTTTTATTTCACCATTGATATCGTACATCCGATACAGAAAGTATTTTTTTATGCACATTTTATCAGTAGTTTTTAATAAATGCTAAATTTTAAAACAATTTCCTCATACATGACGAATGCTAGTGTTAAAATATTCTTTTTCCATCTCTTTGTACTTTTCAATTTCATTTGCTAATTCAGTTAGCCAGTTGGACCTATCATAAATTGGGGATATTGACATTTTTACATATAAATTTGGTACACTGTTGTTAACAAAAATTTCTGGATCACTTAATACTGTAAGATCTGTCTTGGGAAGTATTACGTATAGTTCTTCATCTTCAACATCCAGGATATCTTCCAAACTTACCATCGTAATAGGATCCGTAATTAACACTTCATAATTCGTCCAGTAGAAAGATGTATGAAAGGAATACTCATAAGTATATGAGTATGATTCTTTAAATTTGCTGCTGCAGATACTGAAAGTTGTCTTTTCGAAACTATCTCCCTTCTTTATATCATTAACAAATGTTTTCGTTTCTGTTTTCTTAAAAAAACATGATTTTGGAATATAATTCATTGTTGCATTTGAACTGTATTGTCGAATAGCCAAACTGTATATTGCTTTTCTCATCCTCCGAGATGCGGGGTTTTCCCAATTAATTTGCAAATCATCTTTTAATAAAACTTGAATAGCATAATAGTCTTCAAATGTAATTAAATCATTCAACATTTTTTCATTGTAAAATTTAACCAAATTTTGATAATTTATTCTAGGTGCAAAATAAAAAATATTTTTTCTAAGAAAAGAAACGTGCATACCTGTTTGCTGTCTTCTTAATATAAATTCTTCCACATACTCATTATATCTCAAAAAATTGTAATGTTCATGATTTTTGAGTTGTCTAGTATTGCTCCATTCTGGTGGACTTCCAGTTCTGTTTAAATGTTCAGCAAATCCATACATTTCCACCTCATTCAGAATATATTGACTTAAAATTTCAAATGCTTCAGATTGATCATAATTGAAAAGGTATTCTTTTATCACTTTGTTTTTTAAGGTATTAATGCTTTTAAGTTCGTGAAGTCGTTCAGAATGTGATATTCTTGTTGATTCTAATTTTACAACAAAAATAATTGTAATAATATTCCCAAGGATAAGAATTGTATTCATTGTGATTGAGAATAATAAATTTTGTCTAATAATGTTGTAATTATTTGTATGCACGAATCAATTGTTGGTTTATTCTATTCCTTTCAATCCTTCAATGTGTCATAAATACTTTTTCCTAAAATATTAATTAAAACTACTATTAAAAATTTTAAATATAATAATAAAATTAGAAGAAAATAAGAATTTTACCCTTTCGCCACAAAAGCATCTACTTTAATAATAAAAAAATGTCTATAATTTTCATTTGACTAAACAAAAATCCATCAACTGAATTTATCTATTCGTGCATAAAGAAAATAAAAATTATTGTCTTTTCATGTTTCTGAGTTAAAATGATATAATAAAAAATCAATGTTCAACTTTCGTCGATAATTTCCAATATGATAAAAAAATGTACAGAATAATTTTTTAAAATAATAAATGCGAGTTGTTAATTATTATTTTGCATTCAATTAAGTGTTTTTAATTCAGACTATATTTTATTTTATTTGCGTTTTGTTTTCTACTGATTTTCAGTATATGACAAAAATTCATGAAATAAATAAACGGATTAAAAGTTATTTTTATACTTATAGTAAAATTTAAAAATATTAATAATCGTTGTATTCCGGTAAACTGTTTGCAGTTTGAAGTTAGTTGTTGTTTGCTTCTTTGTTTCATAACTTTTTTTTAATAATTTTTCTTTTCAAATATTTTCAATTTTAAAATTAATATATTTAAAATCATTGAATTCTTGCAAAGAATTTTGTGAAAAAATTTGAGAATAATTTTAATTCCTTCGCAGAATTTTATTATTTATGAAAATAATCGATTTCTCGAGAAAAATGTAATTAAAATTTTAAAAAATTCAAAATTAAATTCTTTTGAAGAATTTCTTTGAATTTTTTTTTTAAAATATAATGGAGTTTTTTTTAATAATTTTAATTGGAAATTGTGAAAGTAATTTAATTTTATGAACAATTTCTTTCAAGTTTTTAAAATAATCGTGTTTCTTAATAGGTAATTGAAATTAAACATTAAATTATTGAATTTTATTAAAATTTTTAGAAAATAATTAAATTCTTCTCAGAATTTTATTACAATTTTCTAAAATAATTTAATTCATTTAAGGAATTTTATTAAAATATAGGAAATAGTTAAATTCTTTTGAAGAATTTCTTTGTGTTATTTTAAATAAAATAGTTCTTTTGAATGAAAAAAATTGAAAATTAAAAATTTTGAAAATAATTGAATTAAACAAAAAATTTTTCAACTTTTTAAAATAATTTTCAAAATAAATTTTGCTATGAATTTTACTTCGAAAGGATTTCTTGACAATAATTTATTTTGAATTTTTGAAAATAATTGAAATTCTGTAAAGAATTCAATTATTATTTATGATAAAAATTGAATTCTTGACAAGAATTTGTTTCAAATTTTTTAAAAATGATTGAAATCCTTGGAAGAATTTTATTATTAATGAAAATAATTGAAATTTTCCAAAGAATTTTTTTTTATGATGATAATTGAATTCTTGCAAAGAATTTTATTAAAATTTTTGAAAGTAATTGAAATCCTCCGAATAATTCAAATATTTATGAAAAAAATTGAATTCTTGTCAAGAATTTGTTTCAAATTTTTAAATATAATTGAAATCTTGCAAAGAATTTAATTATTTATAAAAAGATTGAATTCTTGACAAGAATTTGTTTAAAATTTTTTATATAATTAAAATCCTGCAAAGAATTCAATTATTTATGAAAAAATTGAATTTTTTACAAGAAAATTGAAATTTTTGAAAATTATTGAAATCCTCCGAAGAATTTTATTTTTAGTGAAAATAATTTAAATCTTCCAAAGAATTTTTTTTATGATGATAATTGAATTCTTGCCAAGAATTTTATTAAAATTTTTGAAAATAATTGAAAATCTCCGAAGAATTTTATTATTTAAGAAAATAATTGAAATCTTTAAAAGAATTTTACTTTTTATGAAGATAATTGAATTTTTAGGAAGAATTTTATTAAAATTTTTGAACATAATTGAAATTCTTTGAAAAATTGTATTATTTATGAAAATAATTGAAATCTTTAAAAGAATTTTACTTTTTATGAAGATAATTGAATTTTTAGGAAGAATTTTATTAAAATTTTTGAACCTAATTGAAATTCTTTGAAAAATTGTATTATTTATGAAAATAGGTAATTCAAATCTTGCAAAGATTTTTAATTAAATTTTTGAAAATTAATATAATTTTTTCAATAAAAATTTCAATTTTTTGTAGGAATTTAGTTAAGATTGTATTGAAAATAATTGAATGTTTAGGAAGAATTTTATTAAAATTTTAGAAAATAATTGAAGTCTTTCGAAAAATCTTATAACGAATTAAGAAATAAATTGAATTCTTTTCTGAAATTTTATTAATAATATTTGAATTTTTGCTAAGATTTTACTATTTTAAAAACAATTGAATTGTTTCGAAGGTTTTATTAAAATTTTGTTGAAAATAATTAAATTTTTGCAATATATTTTATTATTTACAAAAATAACTGAATAATTGATTTCTTCCGAAGAATTGTATTCAAATTTTTGAATATACAAATCACCCATAAACAATAATAATTAATTGTATTTATAATGTTTTGGTTGTTTGGATTTAGAAATTGTAATTATTAATTAATTATAATTATTAATATTAATTAATTATGTACTAAATAAGTGAATTTTTAAAATTATAATTATAAAATTATTCAAAAATTTATATTTGAAAATAAAATATTTTGTAACTTGCATAATAATAATAAATTGAATGCGATGTTTCCGCGCGTAACATTTGCTATAGTTATTTAATAATTTTAATATAAAAAAACATTTACAATTTTTTTATTTTGTATTTTATTATTCAAAAGATAAATGCATATGATAAGCAAAAAAAAGTCAACAATTTTTAATATTCACTTTATTTCACTGTTGATAATGTAGCTGATACACAAAATAAACGAATAAAGTATACACAAGAAAAAGAATTAGACAGAATTCTTTATGCATTTTTAATTAAAAATCTTAAAGCAATTTCTTTAGAAAAGAATATTAGCCTAGGACATTAAGCATCGTTGTCAAAGAATATATCTTCCATATCTTTGAACTTCGCAATTTCATTTGCCACTGCAGTTAGCCAATTAGGTTTGTCTAGAATGGGGTTTGTTAATATTTCTACACCTGCAACTTGACCATATCTATTCTTATGAAATATTGGACCATTTAAAACTTGAAGGTTCACTTCAGGAAATAATACATAAAAAAGTCCGTTGTGATTATCCAGGATCTCTTCCAAACTTACTACTACCGCAGGATCCGTAATTATTGCTTCGTAGTGCATCCAGAAGAACGATTTGTCAATTTTATATTCAGAAGAATATGAGTATGATTCTTTAAATTTGCTGTTGCAAATGCTAAAAGTTGACTTTTCAAATTGATATCCAACGGGAATGCTATTAACAAAACTTGATGTTCTTTTTTCTTTAAAAAAACACGGTTTCAAAAAATAACTGGGTATATCATTAGGATCATACTGTCGAATAGCCAAACTGTATAATGCTCTTTTCATTCTCCAAGCTGCTGGATTTTCCAAATTAATTTGCGATTCGTCTTGTAGATAAACCATAATTGCATAATAATCTTCAAATGCAAGTAGTTTATAAATATGTTTTTCCATATAAATATCGTATGCTATATCGTTCGGAATTCTAGGTGAATTTTCAAAGACTTTTGATTCCAGTTCAATGATTATTTTATTTGCTGATGATACATTGAAGGGTAGTGTTTTAAGATAAGCTTCATATTTCAAAAACTCGTAATTTTCGTAATCACTCAGTTTTCTAAAAATGCTCCATTCGGGTGGATGTCCTGTAGCATTTAAATATTGAACAAATATTAACATTTCCTCCATGCTTAAAATATATTCATTTAAAATGTCTCTTACTTCATTTGCATCTAAAGAAAAATACAAAGTTGCCACACTTTCTCTTAAAGTTTCCAATCTTTTAAACTCAGCTTCTCGCTCTTCTGCTGACATTATGGCTTCTAATAATGGAAATGTTACCATCAGCATAGAAATTGCGATAATATTTCCAAGGACAATAATATTATTCATTGTGATCGAAGAATTTTTTCAATTTTCAATACAATCTTTAAAAATAAAATGCGTCAACGAGTCAATTAAAAATTTAAAAAAGTCTTACATTTGCAGTGTTGTGTTTTCTCCAACTGACATGTAATATATTTGCAAAATATTTCTAATGCGATAAAAGAATAATATTTCTAAAAGTCGTAAAATTTAATATTGCCTCCAAACTTCTTCAAAAAAAAAGCAAAATATTTTCTATTTTCCTGAATTTTTTTATTATTTGAAAGATAACCGTAAATATTTCTTTATAAGGTTAAGTGCTTATCATACTAAATTCTACGAGTTTTTCTTAAATATTTAAAGGTAGAAAACAGAGTATAAATTTTATTTTATTATTTCTATTTCAGTATTGACATTATACATCTGATACACAAAATAATTTTTCAATAATTTAGAGAAAATAATAAAATATTACTAAATTAATACTACGATCAAAGAAAAACATTTATGGATTTTATTCCACTAATTATCTTTCGTATTTAAAAAAATCCTCATCAAAATACCAATTATCTTTATATAAATAACAAAATTCTTCCCCAAAGTTCAATTATTTTCAAATCAATTTCAAATTCCCAAAAATAGTACGCAAACATTTAATTATTTTCATAAATAATAAAAATTTATCATTAATTCAATTATTTACAAATCTTTTGTAAATTCCTTCGCAATAATACAATTATTTTTATAAATAATAAAATGTTTTCTAAGGAATTCATATATTTTAATAAAAAATAATTAAAAATTGTAGAAAATAATAATTGATTTGAAATGATGAAAATAATTTTGAAAAAGTTACTGTAACAATATATTTATAATATAAAATATCAATTTTATCACTCGGTCATCTTTAATTGTTATAAAACATGAAGAAATCGATCACTCCGAGTCTTCGACTCGGAGCAATCACTATCTTCATGTTTTATAAAAATATTCTTATAAGTTATTGAATTTAAAAAAATTTAAATTTGAAATTTTTGAAGTTCCTAATTCCTATGGAAAAATAATATTGATTAAATATTTATTAAAAAAAAAGTTATTGGTGTTTTCGAATAATTTTAAAATTAAAGAAATTCGTAAATAAATGTAACAGAACATTTTTTTGAGTAAAATTTTTTCCTTTATTTTCTAAAAATTTAAAAAGTTTAAATTTCATTTTCAAATTAAAATTTGTAATTGACAAATAGAATAGAATATGTAATATTTCTTTGACAAAAGAAAAGAATAAGTTTCTGAACAATATTGTTATTGAGAAATATATAAATTATGCATAAAATGGGTATATTTCCTATTTCTAAATTATAATTTTTTAACTATTAACAATTTTCTCATATTTTTTATAAATAAAAAGGAGAAAAATTTGCATAATTTAGATAAGTCAAACGAAATTTGTTATAGAAAAAAGCATATAATAAACAAAATTTATTTGTTAATCATAATTTTTTTATATTTTCTAATCAAATATTGTTTTATTGTAAATCATTAAAAAATACCTGCATTTTTTCTATCTGTCAAACAATATTTAAAAAAAAGCATACGATATATATTTAATAATTATGTTTCCGAATTATTATTGAATATAATTTTTATATAACCCAATTACCACTTCTTATAAAATTTATTGTTCCTAATTATATTTTTTAATAATGTGTAAATTTTCTAAATTCTAAGATTTCTAAATTTTATTTTATCGAAATATCATTTGTTATAAAACTTTTTTCTTAGAAATAATTGAGGAGCAAATTTTCAAAAGCTGATAAATCCATTTTTAAAAAAATTGAGATAAACATAAATTTAATATTTTAAAGGCCTCACAAATCGACCTATCACTGTTAAATGTAAGAAAAAAATTTTATTAACAACGAATTTTCAATTTAAAAACTTTTTGACATAACCAAGTTGACTTATAATTTTCTTCATGTTTTTTATTAGAAAAAATTCCCAAAACCTTTGAATCACTTAATTATGATAATTTTTAATTAAAAACAGAACGTCTTAAATATAAAAACATTGTTATAAAAATAAATTAATACAAATTTTTTAATTTGAAATGAACTATACTGGTTATGTGAGAAAAGTCATTTGTTTCATTTTCTCGAAATAAGAAAATATGGATTTATCAAGTTTTGAAAACTTGCTCCTCAATTATTATTATATCGAAGTAGTATTTTTCAAAATTTTTGTAATATCTAATAATTTTTTAAACGATTTTCTTTATTGTATAATAACCAGTTTTTATCATTTATTTTACTGGAATAATTATTTTGCATAATTTTTTTGTTACCGAAATTATATTTCAAATAATTTTTTATTACTCGAACTTTATTTTTTCTGATATTTGTCTTTACAAATAATTATTGTCTTTACAAATAATTAATTTTTATAATTTTTATTTTTCCTAATTCGTATTTTACATAACATCCATTTTTTCTAAGATTTAAATTCTCTAATTTACAGTTTTTCGAATCGTTATTTGACAGAATAAGAAATTCTCATAATAGTTATTTTACCAAATAATAATATTTAGAAGTATTTGACACATATTTTTAAATTTATGAAAACTTCCTAAAATGCAGTAAATATTCGATGTTCATAAAACTTTTATTAAAAATAATGAAACATTTTCTATATTCATAAACTTTTTTTATTATTTAAAAGATAATTGGAAATGTTTCTTTACAAGGTTGAATAGTTATAGTTATAAAAAAATGTAATACTTTTTTATATTTAAAGATAGAAAACACAGTATATAAACAATTCTCAGTGAATTTTTTTTTAAATTATAGCACAGTATAATTAGTTATGTATACAAATTAATTTACGTAAATTTATTACTTTTTCTCAGTCGATTGATCTGAAAAAATAATAATAATTGCAAAACATGAAATGAGACATGATTGTTTAATTTTTTTGGATAACTTTCAATTTGATGAATATTCAATATGCAGAATGGTTTTTGTAAATCAGTAGTGAAAATTATTAAATAGTAAAATTATTAATTCACAATTTTTGGAGTCCATATATCAAATTTGGGCTTTTATCATCAAATTGGAGCTTTTTTATTAAAGAAGATCTTTTTCCGAAACACGGAGGTACTCAAAAGTTTTTTTAGAATTTATTTCCAATTCAGAAAAAATTTGTATCTTGAAGACCTTGGAGGCGACTATCAAATTTGGGCTTTTTTTCATCAATTTGGAGCTTTTTTTTATTAAAGAAGAGCTTTTTGAAAGCATTAATCAAGTTTTGCAAATAAATTGCAACAAAGGTTATTATCATAATAGAAATGTTAAAATTAAAATTAAATTAAAGTTATAATTAAAATAAAAAATTTCCTTAAATAATAAGATTAATAATTTTTGTATAAAATTTGTTATTATTTATTATCAATTGATTTATTACTATTATATTTCCATATTTTAAAATAAAGTATAAAATTAAAAAGTCTATCCTTTTATGAATTTCGAATCTTTTTCAAATAAATAGTTTATGGAAAAGCAAGAAATATCCAGTTAGCACTGATTATAAATTACCTATATTATCTTTGTAAAATTACAGAACAAAATAAGTACAAAGAAATTTTAATTCTTCAAAATTTTATATTTGCGCAATATTTTTAAATTTATATGAAAAATAATCTTTCAATTTTTATAGAAATCGTATTAAAAAAAAAAATATTTTCTACATTCGTGAAATTTTTTTAGTATTTAAAAGATAACTGGAAATGTTTCTTTACAAGGTTGAATACTTATCGTTATAATAAATTTTCTAGTTTTTTTATATTTAAAGATAAAAAACACAGTATAAATTTTCTTTTATTATTTCTATTTTACTATTGATATTATACATCTGATACAGAAAATAATTTTTACAAAAAAATAATATACATAAAAAAATGTAAATTATAGAAAACATTTATGCAAATTTTTTCATGTTTTTATTTTATTGGGTTTGCAAAATATAAAGGCATATCACAAGTAAGAAACAAAATAAATTTTTTTATTTCACTACTGCCTATAAAGTATAACTGATACAGAAAATAAATTTCGAATAAAGTATAAATGAGAAAAATTTTCACAGAATTCATTATGCATTTTTAATTAAAAATCTTGAAGCAATTTCTTTAAAAGGATGTTACGACGCTAGTCTTCGTTGACAAAGTGTGCCCTTTCTATCTCTTTGTATTCCTCAATTTGATTTGCCACTGCAGTTAGCCAACTAGATCTGTCCACAATGTTTTCTGTTATTACTTTTACATTTACAATTTTGCCGTATTTATTAATCCAATATTTTGAATAATCCATAACTTGAAGTTTTACTTCAGGAAGTAATACATACAGATGTCCATTATAATTATCCAGTATCTCTTCCAAACTTACTACTACCGCAGGATCCGTAATTATTGCTCCGTAGTGCATCCAGAAGAACGATTTGTCAATTTTATATTCAGAAGAATATGAGTATGATTCTTTAAATTTGCTGTTGCAAATGCTAAAAGTTGACTTTTCAAATTTATATCCAACGTGAATGCTATAAGCAAACCTTTCTGTTCTTTTTTCTTTAAAAAAACAAGGCTCCAAATTCAAAATATAACTCGGTATAAAATTAGGATTATACTGTCGAATAGCCAAACTGTACAATGCTCTTTTCATTCTCAAAGCTGCTAGATTTTCAAAATTAATTTGCGATTCGTCTTGTAGATAAACCATTATTGCATAATAATCTTCAAATGTAAGTAGTTCATAAAGATTTTTTTCCATATAAATATCGTATGCTATATCGTTCGGAATTCTAGGTGAATTTTCAAAGACATTTGATTCAAGTTCCATAATAATTTCATTTGCTGATGATACACTGAAAGGTAGTGATTGAAGATGAGCATCATATTTCAAAAACTTGTAATTTTCGTAATTTTTAAGTTTTCTAGCAATGCTCCATTCGGGTGGATTTCCTGTATTATGTAAATACTCAGTAAATGGCTCCATTTCCTCGATGCTTAAAATATATTCACTTAAAATGGGTCTTGCTTCATTTCCATCTAAAGGAAAATGCAAATCTGTCACAATTTTTCTTATTTCTTCCAATTTTCCAAACTCAGATTCTCGCTCTTCTGCTGACATCCTTATTGCATCTAATAATGGCAATGTTGACACCAATATTGAAATTCCGATAATTCTTCCAAAGGCAATAATAGTATTCATGGTGATCGAAGAATTCTTTCAATTTTTCAATATAATTTTGTAAAATTATTCTTTTCAGCTGAATCCTCAAACGAGAGAATCTATCAAAACATTTGAAAAAAAATAATCAAAATTTTGTTAAAAACATTCAAAATGTCAAATCAAATATGGCCGCTTTTTTTTTGTCAAAATTGCTTAAATTCTTTTCACACTTGTTCTTTATAATATTCCTCAGAGCAAAAACAATTTTTCCTTTTGCATAAATAAGTCATTTATTTGTTTAAGAAGAAAATAAAAAATTGTTATAAACAAATAATAATTTGTTTACAACAAATGTAATTGTTTATGTTATGAAATTCTTAGTTTTTGCAAACATATGATATAAACATTTTAAGATTAAAAATTGTCGAAAATGTTTACAAATGCAAAAGAAACTTGATTATTGTTCATATAATTGTCAATAGCAATATAATTAATAACATTAAAATCATTATTTTCCAAAATAGACATAGATTACGTAAATAAAAATAAATTTGTCTTCATGAAAAAAAATTTTTTTTAAAGGACAAAAATTATCTATTTGTTTATGAACATTGTTTGCAACAATTTAAAAGAATTGCACTATGCATTATTATTTGTATGGTGGTCATATACTATACTAATTTAATTTAATTTAATTTCGAACATGTGCAATGGAAAATAAGAAAATAAACATTTTTTCCAAAAATATTGTAAATTGTTAACATTGAGTAACAAAAAAATTTAAACAATTAATAATTAAAAAAAACGGGTTCAAAATGTCTCTTAGAAATTTTATCTCCTTTAATTTAATTTTTTAGAAATAGTTTAAGAAAATCTTACCTTTTCAGTGGGTAGAAATTTTTATACTAAAGCGTAATTTCTGACGAAAATTCCAAATAGAATCTACACTTGCAATGGTGAAAAGTTATCTAAAATGTAAAAGTGAACATGATTTTTTTTAAAATATAAAGAACACCTGCTATTTTAATCTATTATTTTTTATTCAGTTTATTCTATTTTTTTTATTAAGTGAACATGATTTTTTTTAAAATATAAAAAACACCTGCTATTTTAATCTATTATTTTTTATTCGAGAGTGAACTGTAAAAACTTTCTTACATTTTTTTTTATTATTATTTGGTTGATTTTTTGTTACTGTTCTTGAAATTATTAAAAAAAAACTAACAAATTTCATTAGAAAATGGAAATTTTTCCAATCGTCAATTTAATTAAATTTCAGTTTGATTATTTTTAGTTCTAATTTTTATTAATCATTTTATTATTTTTTGTCATTGATTTACAATTATTTTTTAATTCTTTACCCACAATTAGAATTGATTATGTGTTCAATTAAATATAATCACATTCAAATGAAATGATTGATAATTTTCTAATAATGTCAATTTCTAACAAAAGGATAAAAAGGTTTTCTGTTCTAGATTATAAATGTATAGTTAAATGCTTTACTTTAAAGTAATTACTCCAGGTTTATATTTTCTTAAAGTAATGCTCAACTCTCTTAGAATTATTTCAATCAAGTTGTGCCAGAACGTCATTAATCTTCATCTAGAAACAATTTTCAGTCTACCTATTAATTTCCACTTTATAACGTGTTATAATTTTTAATTTATAAACATATTTTTGCAACCAAATTTTTTTAACGAATTTTTCTTAAAGTTATTATTACTTTGAAAAAAACAAAAGCAATAACTTGTATGAAAAATACCTTAGTTTATAATTTATTTTATATATTATATACTTATTGAAATCCATTAGGCAACCAGTTTTTATTAATTAGTAATTCAAAGAATGTAAATTAATTTCACACATAGTCCATTTATGATACAAGGTAGTAAAGTTGAATTTTTTATTTTGAAAAACGAGGAAAATTCAAGTGTTTTAAATTGTAAATTATGAATTTAACAAAACAAATTTAGAAACTATTTTCTTTTCCATCATTTTGTATATTAAAAAGTGATTTTTTTTAATTTTAAAAAATAAAATTTTTGTTAAAACAAATTTTTAATTTTTGTAACTCTTATAGTTTTGAATTTAAAATGATTTAATTTTTGCGAGGAATTTTATTAAAATTGTAATGGAAATAATTTGATTTTCAGTGAAGAATTTTATTCGCTATGAAAATAGTTTAATTCGTGTGACAAATTTTATTAAAATTTTTGAAAATAATAGAATTGTTTCGAGAAATTTAATTAAAATTGTATTAAAAAGAATTTTAATTCTCTCGAAGAATTTTATTGTTTATAAAAATCAGTTGAATTCGTGCGAAAAATTGTACTAAAATTTTTTATTTTTGAAAATAATTAAATTCTACCAGGGCCTTTAATTAAAAATATATTGAATATAATTAAATTCTAATAATTAAATTTTATCAAAAATTTTGAAAAAATGATTGAATTCTTTCGTAAAGTTATTATTAACTCACGTGCTGTTTTATTAAAATTTTATATTATAAAGAATTATATTTTTTCATCTTTACAAATTATCTATATAAATATAATTGGATTTTTAAAAATACATTATTTTATAAATTTACAAAAATTATTCTATTTAAATAATTAAATTCTCGTCATTGAATTCTGTTAGCAGTTAATTTAAAAAAAAATTCAGTTGAAATTTTTGAAAATAATTGAATATTTAAAGCGTTATGACAGAAATTTTAGGAATTAATTAAATTTTTAATTTAAATTTCTTGAAAATTTAAGGGAAGCAAATATATAAAAATGTTTAAAGTTTTATTTTCAAAAATTATTAACTACATCATTATTCTTTAAAAATTCTTAAAGTTTTGAATAATTTAATTTAAAAATCCTAAAAAAAATAATTGAATTTTGGAAGAATTACAATTTGCAATTTTTAGAAATATAATTCAATTTCAAAAGATTTTTCAGTTTAAAAAATTTTTTTAAAATGTCATATTTTAATTCCTGACAAAAAATGAATAAAAATAAGTTTTTAATTTTTGAAGTTTTGAATAATTTAATTAAAAAATCCCGTAAAATTGTTTCTTGGTTTTTTTGAGGTACAATTTTTTAAAAATAATTGTATTTTCGAAAATAATTTTTAAAAATTGAAACAATTGAAAATTTTGTCAAATTTCATTGAAATAAATTTAATATTTTAATGAATTTTATTTGTTTACTTTTAAAAATTATTTTGAAATATAATCGTAATTTTTGAAGAATTCTAATTGCAAATTTGGAAAATAATTGAATTTAAAAAAAAATTGAGAATAAACTTATTATAATAATATTTATTAGAATTTATTTGTAAATATTCTATAGATTTTTTTTTACTCTTTTTTTTAATTCTTCTGCGAATTTTCTATTTTGTATACGATTTAAAAATTTCAAAATTGTATTCGTTGTTTAATTTTGTTTTCTAATTTTTTTAATTCTCTTTTTTTTTTTTTTGTTCTAACGATGACAGGACATCCTCGTTAATTCGCAAAATGTGAAAGTCGAGTGGTGTATATGTCTTCATGATGAATGTCGCAAGATAGTGAGCAATGGCTACTGTTCCAACTATTTATATGTCTTATTTTCTTTAGTTGACTGTTAAAAGGGACTAAATTTTCCCAGCGTGTGATCAAAATGATGCAATTTAAATAATTGAATACAATTTAAATTGTCCCTTTATCGTGTTCAATTTTTTTTTTCTTTCTCGTTCTTCAATTCTTATCAACTGTTGCATATGAAGCAACCGCGGGAAACATTTTTCTTTATCTAAAAATTATTTTCTACTGCGCTATTAATACCTGATTTGATATACATATATATTTAATCTATACTGAAGTTGGTACTTTTCAATTTTTTTCTTTTTTATATTACTTTCGATAAGAAGTAAATGTATTTTCGTAATTAAGCCATGATTATGAGAGTTAAAGAATTAAATTACAATATTGGTCATATATTTACAATTCTTTTAATTATATCATCACGATTAAGAATTCTTTTTTTGTTTTTATTTTACAATTTCGAATTTAATGATAATTTTATATGAAATTTAATTAATTGAAGTTAATTATCTAAGCTTTTTTTCTTTATATTCTTTTTTTTATGGCTTTTTTGTTTCGTTTAAAAAAATTTATAGAGATGCTTCTGTGGGGTTTTGCGGCAATTTTAACTTTATAGAAATGTGTAAGCTCTGTTTAGTAGTGATAAGGTTTACAGTTAACTTGTGTTACCAGACTATTTTGCTGTTTTGCTCGTAAATTTCCGACACGTGGATTACGTTGTACGTTCAGAAATCATGGAATGTATTTCCTTGTATTCGTATATATAGGTATATAGTATTTGGATTGCGATGTTTTCAAAGATCTCTTTTAGTAAAGTTGCTGTATTTGTTAAGCAGCTTAACTGTACATGCAACAAGATTTCGTTAAACTTTCTATCCTATACTTTACTCTTGTGTTTCTTTTTTTTCCTTCTTTTTTTGAAACAAAGACAAATGAGCAAACTTTCAGATAAGCTACAATTTCATTTCTAAACCTGCGCGAGATTTTATTCTTGAAAATACCTTTATAATCTGTATGGTGTATGTAAAACAAACAATTATTCGAAAATCGTGTTTATTAACATAAAAATAAAATTTAAAAATACATTTAAAAACTTTTCTTTTTGGTTTTTTTTTTGTTCGATGAAATTTTCTCCTTTTTCATGGACCAGCCATTGAGCTTTTTTTTCATCGTATATTGTAATCCTGTAATCCTTTAGAGACAGTACTTAAACTCGAATATGATTCATTGGGAAATGTGTGTATAAATGTTGGAATATGTATTTCTTTTTTCCTCTTTTTTATTAAATGATCTTCTTGACCGAAAATATTCCAAATCGATAATGTGTTATTGTACGACAAAGCTGTGAAAAAAAATAATATTCTAGATTAATTTTTGTTAAATTTAATTTAAATTGAGATTCAATATGGAGACGATACTCTCCACCTGAGAACGTCAAGGTCACCGCTAGATGGCACTCAATAAAAACTAGATTCTACGCCATCTAGTGATGACCTGGACGTTCTCAAGTGGAGAAATTAAACCACCATTTTTTAAAAGTTTTTACTAAATAAAATGAAATAAAAAGTAATAAATGATAAAACAAAGAATTCATTGGTATTACGAAACAAATAATAAGTAAAAAATGAAAAAAAAATAGAAAAAGTGAATAAATAATAAAAATTTTCTTTTTCTCACCAATTTTCGTATGATCTGGATTCCATGTGAAGTTTAAAATTTTATCTTTGTAAATGGGAATAAAATCAACAATTCTATCTAAACTTGCAAGAACAACAATTTTTACTTCTCGTCTATTGTGCTCTAAGCAAATCCAATGCACAATTAACTCGCCAGTTAATTTATTAAAAGTTAAATTTTCCACAGCGCCCATAAAATCGATTGTACGATATTGTAATGGTTTTTGGGTATTAATATTCCAAACAGTTAAAGAGCCATCGTGATGTCCACCGCCAATGCAAAGAATGTGATTATTCCACGGATGCCAAGCAATAGCCTTAGGAAAAAATTAGGATTTTTAAAAATTTACGAATTTGGATTTTTTCTAAACTAGAAAAAAGTAGAAAAAAATTTAAAAATTAGAAAAAAAAAATTTTTTTTTAAATAATTAAGACCAAAAAAAAACAAAACAATGTACTAGTAAAATATTAACCTTTATTCGTTTGTAATAGTGAACATTCATGTAAGGTTGAAAATCGGGCCAGGAAATAATTTTGACCGATTTATCATGAAATGAAACTGCTAAAAATTTATCATTAGGCGATAGTGCGATGTAAATTATTCCAGCATCGCAGAATTCAGTGTTTTGTACTTTGCCAGTATTGGCGACTATATTATTTAATCTTCCATTGGAACATGCTCTATATTTAAACAATAAAAGAACTTAATTATAATTTTTATATTGATATTTTGAAAAAAATTAACAATTTATTATTAAAATTAATTAATTAAAGAAAAATTAAAAAACTAAAAAAAAAATCTAAAAAAATGGAATGGAAAGAAAACAACAAAAATAAGGAGAGAGAGAGAGACTTACGAGACGATAAATTTATCTGTACTTGACCAACAGACAATGACAATTTCACATTCGGGAATTTTATCACAGGGACATTGACGATACCAAAGTACATCTTCTTCAACCTGTTCACATTTCACCGAAACTGTTGAGTCTACTCGTCCGATTGCAAATCTTGTTCCTGTGAAAAGAAATTTTTTTTTTAAATTGGAAAATTTTCTTTTTTTGTTTCGATAAAATATATGTAGTAAAAATTTATAGCAATTTTTTGCAACAAACTTTGTCAAAATTTTTTTCAAAATCTGTTAAAATCATTGTCAAAATCTTTCTTTTCATGTTAGTCAAAATTTTTGACAGTCTTTGTTAAATTTTTGCAAAAATCTGTAGCAGAATCTTCGTTAAATATTTGGCTAAATTTTACTCAAGAACATTTAGCAGAATTTTTGCAACAATTTTTGATAAAATTTTCATAGAATCACTTGTCACTTTTTTTTACTAAATGTTTTGCAAAAATTTCGCAGAATTGTGATAAAAGTCTTCGTTAAAATTTTTGTAAAATGATTTATTACCATCTTTATTAAATTTTTAATAAATCTTTTTTAACCATCTTCTTCATTAATATCTACGTTAATGAATCCTTGTTGTTTTTTTTCAACAAAATCATTGTTAAAATATTTTTGAATTTTGTTAAAGTCTTTTTGGAATTTTTGGCTAAAATTTTGTTGCAAAATTTTTAGCAGAATTTTTCTTAAAATATTTAATTTAATTTCCATCACAATCTTTGACAAAATTTTTGTTAAATTATATTTCAAATTTTTATTAACATCTTCGGTAAAATCTCTGTTGACGTTTTTGTTGAATTCTGTGTTAAATTTTTGTCTAAATCTTTATTAAAATCATTGTTAAAATTTTTGCCTAAATTTTTAGCAAAATACTTTTTTAATCTTGGTCAATATTTTTCTCAGTCTTTGTTAAATATTTTGTAATATCTTTAGTGGAATATTCGTTAAAACTTTGGCTAAATCTTTCTTAAAATATTTAGTATAATTTTTTTGGAAATCTTTGTTAAAATCTTTGTTAAATTCTTTGTGAAAATTTTGACTAAATTTTTTTCCAATCTTTGGCCAAATGTGAGTGAAATCTTCCTTAAAATTTTTGTTTATCGAAATATTTATCAAAATATTTATACCCACCACTATTATTCCATTTAACAACGGTAATATCATCCTCACTCCCAAGATAACTGAGATAAGACAATGAAGATGGAGAATCAGCATTAAAAACTCCAGTTCCTTCATCAATTGCCATGACAATTTCATTTTTTATACTCCAATCAACCAAATATTTTCCACGTATTTGAAATGGAAATCTAAATATTTCTATTAGAAAAAAAAATAATAAAAATAAAAAAAAATATTAAAATTAAAACAATGCTTTCACTTATCAAAGAAATACAGGATAAATTTTCAGTTTCAAAGAATCAAAAAAAAAATTTTTCTTTATCTGGTTATGAACAGAAAATTTTTCCATTGAATCAGAAACTCGATAATCATTCTCTGAATTTCGCGATTTTTTTTTTTTTTTTTAAAGAACAATAAAATTATTTACGTTGTATTTGATGAATATCATGATTTTCATAATCTTTCTGCGACTGAACAATTAATGGCCTTTTACGTGGTCGACATTCCCAGAATTTATCATCAGAATATCCTTTAGTTCGATATTTTGATTTATTACTAGTTTCTGTCGTCATTTCACATAATTTTAATATTCGTGCTTGTCGAAGTCCTGGAAATAAATTCATTTCCAACATTCTTTCATTCATAACTCGTTTACGCCATTCAGTTGTTAAAAATTTTAACTGAAATGAAAATAAAATCATGTGAATGAAAAAAAAAATTAAAAACCAAATTTTAATAATAAATGAATGTTGCAAAGAAATAAAAATATAGAAAAAGCGAATTTATTATTTCTTTTTCAACTGAAATTTTTTGGTATTTTTATCCTATTTTAATTTTTTTTTTTAAATCAATAATTTTTGTTTAATTTATTAAATTATAAATATACTGTTTCATTTTTTTGACTTCAGTTATTATATTAAATTGAACTTTAAATTTTGAATTTCTTCTTTTTGAAAAAAATAGTTTGGTTATTTTTTTATAGAGACAATTAAATATTTAAATTTAATTTTAATTTATCTTAAAGGACTTTAATTGGATATTTTTATTTATTTAAGTAAAAATTATTTTAATTTAATTTAATATTTAATTAAATTAAAGCAAAAAAAGGATATTTCTGAATAATTAAAATTTTGTTTCGTATCTAAATAATTCCTTTTGGATAAGATAGAAGAACGTAAAGAAGTAATTTAAAGTTTTTTTTTTTGCTTTTGAATTATTTTCATACTAAAAACCATTTCAGTGGAAAATTACACTATTATACGTCTAGTTAAATTAAAAGAGATTCATGTTTTCTTATTTCTCTAAATGAGCCTTTTATCTACGCTCAGCAACTTTGTACATTTTTAAAGTGAATTCAGTGCTTATTTTCTTATCTGTAATTAACCTTTTTATGGTTACTAATACTTAACATTTTTCTTAATTCGAAAGAAGTTTCTTGTGCTTCCTTCTGAAGGAAAGAGAGAGAGAGAGAGAGAAGAGAACACAAAATTTTATAATATAAACATTCGTTGCAAATTAAATTGAAACATTTACTTGAAATTTTTTAAAAGAATCAAGTATAAAAATAATTCCTGTCAACTGGGTAGTAAATTTTTTTTTTTAATATAAAATTGTTACTCATCATTAAAGACACTGTAAAATAAATGTCTTCATTGCTTGTTAATATTTCTTCTAAAATATTTGTCGTCAAGTTCTGTTGAGATTTGATGCAACTTTTCATTACCCTCATAATTAACGGACACTATAAAATTCTCTCGTTCTGTGAATGTAAGAGGAATATTTTTTTCCCGACACTCTTGCATTTAATTTTATTTAATTTAATAAAAAATTATTATTACGTTTCTAGTTCTCGTGAATTTGTAAAAAATGAAAATTCTTGATGCATTTAAAATTGTTTTATATAATTATACGAAAACTGAAACTATTCCTAGATTAATAATAATATTAATAATAAATAATATAAATAACAAGGTTGACACAAAAATTTTATTTTATTTTTCCCTGACTTTTCCCTGATTTCCAGACAAAATTTTAACTTCTTTCCTGACCGTAAAGAATATTCTGATTCACTCTTGTGAATGTGTTCTAAATATTACACTTATTTACGAATTTTTTTAATTGCAAAATTATTTGTAAACATCAATAACTTATTTTTTGAATAAATAATTAATCATTATTTTATTTTATAAGAATACGGTTACTGCAACTTCTTAAAAATTATTGTCATCATTTCAATTCAATCATTATTTTCTATAATTTTTGAATTCAATTATTTAAATATAAAAATAAATAATAATTTATTGAATAATTGAATGTTTCTGAGAATTTTGTTCTCATAAAGAATTCTATCAACAAATTTTTAAATAATTACATTCTTTTGACGAATTTTAATAAAGTTTTTATTTTTTAAGAATAATTACATTTTGCAAGGAATTAGATTAAAATTGAATTAAAAAAAATTGAAATTCTGCGATGAGTTTTATTATAATAATTATGAAAATGGTTGAATCTCTGTAAAAAATTTTATTATTTATGAAAAAATTTTATTAAGACACTAGATATTAAAAATCATTGAATTGAGGACAATTTTTGAAAATAATTGAAATTTTGACAAGAATTTTATTAAAAAATTTTGAAAATAATTGAATTTTAGAGAAGAATTTTATTCCTTATAAAAATTATTGTAATTTTGACGAGAATTTTAACAAATTTTTGAACATAATTGGATTTTTGCGAAGAATATTATAATACTTTTGAAAATAATTGAATTCTTGAGACAAATTTTATTAAAATTTCTTTTTAAATAATTGAATTCTTTTGTGAAAATTTATTGAAATATTAAAAATTCTTGAATTTTGACAAATTTTTGAAATTAATTAAATTTTTACGAAGAATTTTATGAAAATTATTTTGAAAAAAAAAATTATTGTTACAAAGAATTTCATTATTCATGAAAATAATTCAATTTTTTGAAGAAATTTATTTGAAAATCTATTGAAAATAATACTTAAATTGTAATAAATAAATTGTAGCAAAAAATTTTAAAATATTTGGATTTCTTTGCTGAATTTTAATAAAATTTTTAATAATAATTAAATTTTTAATAATAATTTAATATTTTCCAGTACTTTTAATAGAAATTCCTTACTTTTTCCTGATTTTCCTGACCAATTCTAATTTTCCTAATTTTTCCCTGAATTCATTATTTTCTCAGACCTGTGGAAACTCTGAATTATCCGGATTTATAAGCCAAAAGCAAAAGTTTTGATTTTTAAAGATTTTTTAATTTTATTTTCCAATAAAATATTGTTTTTAAAATTTTTCCATTTTTCTACTTTAAAAATTAAATCGAAACATTGCTGTGTTAAAAAAAGTGAATTTTCACCTATAAAAAATAGTGGAGGGTATTTTTTTTCTACCCACATAGATATACATATCTATACATATATTTGCCTCGTTATAAATTGAACGTAAAACTGATGTTTACGATGTACAAGTTATTCTGACTGTAAAAGCGTTGAGGGCGTCATTCTTGAAGACTATTATAGAGAGTATGGCACAAGGAATATTGCATCGTTATCAGGCGTGAATTCATTTCATTTACGACACGAATTGCTACTGTTCATAATACCTGTTTTAAATCCCATGTCATCAATATTTTATTTCCCCTAATAATTAACTAGTTTGGCTTTTTACTTTTCAAATGAAAATTTCACGCATCAAGACATATTTAACTCACACGTTTTATTTTATTGCAAAAATTAATTATATATTACGACGTTACAAGTAACACACTGAAATTTATTTCATTCATTTATCACTCTTGGGAATTTTTTTTCGATAATTAAATTTAATATTCTACCGTAACAAAAATTATAAAAATTATTGCAATCATAGAAATTTATTTTTCTCTATAACAAAATTTATTATTTTTTTATAGTTAAAATTTAATAATATTATGTTTATTATAATATTAATCTTTATAGAATTTAATATATTTACAGCAGCAAAATTTAATATTCTTTCGCAATAATAAATTTTTTTTACAGTAATAAAATTTAATATTTTCTACATTAACAAAATTTTTTCCCCAAGTATATTTTTTTACTACAACCTCAAAGTTATAACATTTTTTTTGTTTGACAGATGAGAAAATACTCTTTAGTTTAATTGAAAAAAAATTTAGATATTGTTACAAAATTCAAAGAAACAAATGTAAGAAATTATAAAATAAAATATTTATTGTCTGGAAATAATGGGAGTTTCATTTCGTTATGGAGTGGCAACATAGATGACATGTGACATTGCGTGGGTAACTAAAGTCGCGTCAGTGGCAATTAAGTATAAATCCCCCAACATTTGCACTAAAAATAGTGAGCAATAAATTTTTCACTATGACATTATATTGCAATGAAGTTATTCATTTATGTATTTTTAATTTTTATTATATATTAAATATAGAAAGAAAAAAGAAATGAATATTTACTACACGAGACAAGATTCTTTCAAGAGAAGAACTAAGTAGTTTTAATTTGAAAAAAAATATGAAAAGAAAATGAAATAAAAGATATTGAAAAAAATCAATTGAAACTTTATACTTGGCTTGTAACGACAGGAAACTGAAAAATCTCGTTGAACAACTGAAACGATATCCTCTCGTTCAAATTAATATGTATTATGCTAATTCCCTGACGATTATTCAAATTTTATACATTTATTATTCTTTAATGTACAAGATGAACTACTGTGCAAGGCATTTTAATTAGCAATAAATTCATATTTTTATGAATTAATGAAAAAATTTTTGAATTTACACAAATATTTTTTTTCTTGCAGCGAAAATATTTTGTATTAAAAAAAACCCAAAAGTATTTATTATGCAGTTAATATTTAATATTCTATTATAATAATTATTATAACTTTTGAAATAATATTAATTAATATTAATTAATATTAATTCATATTCTTTTTTGTTCATATTAATTAAGTTTGAAATTTCTTACTTGGGGCAATACTTGTAGTTCATTTTCATTTTCCACCTTGACAAGTTTTCCTTGATATTTAAAATTAAAAGCATTTGTGTTGACAGTTTTTCTTAACGGTATAAATCTGTCACCAGAAAAATTTTTTTTGAATAATTCATTTCCTTTCCATAGATATGAATTTGCAGCTGTTGTTTGTGGCGAATTCCAATTGTCCGTTGGATTGGAATCCTGAAAAAATAAATAAACCACTACAGTCAAAAATAAATTTTGATGATTATAGTTTTTTTTCATTTTCATTTAATATTTTTAATCTTTATATATTCTAATTATAGCAATAATTTTATATTTTTAATGAGTAAATAAAAAAAATTTGAAATATATTAAATAAAAAGAAAAATATGCAAAAAATTTTAATTTTCGTTTTATTCTTTCTTTCTTTAAATGAAACGTATTTATACTTTTTTATATATAACAACATAAATTATATAACTTAATTAATATAAAATAATTAGAACTAGAAATTTAAAATTATTAAATTTTAATTAAATTTTAATTATATTTTAATTAAATTTAATTTAAATTTAATTTAAATTTAATTTAAACATTTTGAAAATAAGTTTAAAATAAAATACAATAATTTATTTGAAATACGCGTACGCACAATTGTGCAAGGGATGAAAATTTATGTAACGTAATTTCACACGGTTAAGTTTAAAAATAATTCAATTCGTACATCAAGTTATTGTAATTGTATTTTTAAATAAATGTAAGTAAAGGAATAATTGTTGCTAAAGTGGTGGAGACAGGGGGGAATTGAAAGCATAAGCTTTTTATGGAAAAAATATTTCAGAAATAAAATCGAAAAATTTTATCGAGATTCTGTATACATATATATAGGGGTGCGTTCCGGTGAAGAGAGGGAAACTTCCGGCCCCTTGGGGGTAATACGTGATCCCGGCATTATGCAAGTCCCGTGAAGTGAAATTTTTCTTTAGTAAAGGGGTAATATTTATCTCGGATGCACCCTCTTGTACCCCCAACGAACATCTGGCCCACGAATACAGTAATGGATGGACCGAGACCTCATATAGGACCTGATTTCTCTTTTTTTTGCGTGACCTCGCGTTAATAACATGTCCCTTTTGTATACATAATACAGACGTGTTAGAATATTTTTATTTATTTACAAAAAAATTTTTATTTCTTCGCTTTATTTTGTTTTCTAATTTTATTTTAAATTTAGAAAATTTTCTTTTTAGGAATTTTTTATATTATTTTTATTAATTTCTTCAACATTCCGAAAGTCTTAAAAAAACAAAAATATCTTTATTTTTAGATATCTTTTTTAGATATTTCTTTGTTTAATTTATTTTCTTTTTTTACTTTTTTAAAAAGTAAAAAAGTGTTTTTCTTTAACTTTTAATTACGTCTTTCAAAAATCGAAAACATTAATTTCTTTTCTTTTTAATTTACTCTTTAATTTTTTTTATTTTATTTTATTCAAGTTATTTTATTTATAACTTTCTGTAATAATTTTCGTTTATTTGTAATTAAATAATTCTGAACAAAAAAGAATTTTTTGCACCTAAATGCAAAGAATTATTTAAAAATTTATTATTATCCAAAAAAAAGTATTAAAAAAATTCAATAAAACTTTTTATTTTTTCAAAATAATTATTGCTTCTTTCTTTGAATTTCTCTTGCAGATGAAGACTTGTATTTTGAGATTAATTTACAAGTCTGATGAAATTTTTTTACTATTTTGATTTTGAATTTTATTCAAGGGTGACGAAGCAGGTTTTTGAAATAGTGTCTGAGTGAATTTAAAGATTCCTGTTTGTTTTACACTCAACCCTTTACCACAAAACTTTGCACCAAGAATATTTAAATTCATCTTCTTCTCAATTTTTTTTTATTTATTGCTTTATTTTCGTTTTTAAAATAAATTACAGTTTTTTTTCTTTTTTTAATCAGAAAATTACAGTTGAAAAGAAATATTATTGACTGAAAATAAAGAAAAATTTTTCTGTTAACTTTTTTTATTTCTATTTCAAAAGTTAATTTTACTATAAGCAAATAAGTAATTTTTTTTTATTTTCATTAAAATTTACTTTGAAAAAAGGATCAATTTTTAAATTTTATCTATAAATTTTTTTCTGGGAAAAAATAATTCTATAATTAAAAAATCTTTGTGGAAAATAAACAAAGAATTTAAAAATCTTTAGAGAAAATAAACAAGAATATTTAAATATAAAAAATTATTAATTTTTAGCTTCCATAAAAATGAAAACTTTTGATTAATATTATTCAAAAATTCTAAAAAAATAAATGAATTTTTAAAGACTTGCAGTTCAAATTCAAAATTTTGTAAAATTGTATATTTTAAATAATTTTATTTTTTTATATTTAAAAATTTTCTATAAATATAATTGTATTTTTGAAAATACATTATTTTATTTGTTTACTTTTAAAAATTATTTTGAAATATAATCGTATTTTTGAAGAATTCTAATTGAAAATTTGAAAAATATTTGAATTTAAAAAAAATTTAGAATGCTGTTAGAAATATCTTGTTGATTTGTATACGAGTTGTTCAAATAATTAAATTTAAAGAAAAACTGTTAGAAAAATTAAATTTTTAAAAAATTCACGAATTTTCATTAAATTTTAAAAATCAAATTTTTTAAAGTAATAAGGGGAACGAAAATTAGTTGTAGTATTGTAAGTTTATTTTATAATTCGTAAAAGAGGAAAAATTTTGAGAACAAATTTTACTCAGGTTTATTTATTTATTTTTTACTTTTATTTTTCGAGAGACTTGAGCTTTATGCAAATGTTAAATTTCTAGGACAGTGCCATATATGATTCTGGTGGGTAAGAAAAGAAAAATTGTGGCGTACAGTAATGCCACGCGATATGGAGATAGTCGCCTCTCTTCTCTCGCACCCCATAAATTACAAGCGTATACGTTTAAGCAACTAAGCAGCTTCGCTTAAAACACCATCGCGTGCCCATCTCCGCGGGATGTCCCGCGAACCTGAATTTCTTTCAAAAAAAAAATAAAGAAAGAAAAGAAGTCACGACGAATACACATATGGAGATAATAAAGAACTAAGAATTTTGCGTTTCACACATTTGTTATAATATAACCCGTTTTGTCACAGCAAAGAATTAAATGTCATTCTTACAACGTTATACATTCCAGCCTGTCATAATTCAAAATTTGATTTAAGTAATATATTACTCTTTCCTTTTTGTTTGCTGTTTTAATTTTAATTTCATTATTTTCGTCACGAAAAAGGTTAAATAATAATTATAATAAAAAAAAAATTATGAGTGAATTTATTCCGTTTTTTACTGTCCAAAAAATTTTATACTGTAAGAAAATTTTATTCTGTAAGAAAATTACTAAATAAATTTTTTTACATTTAAATTTCTTATTAAATTTAAAAACAAAATTTTAGTTTTAAATTATTGACAAAAATTTTTTTTTTATTTTCAGGTAAGTCCACATTTTGCAGAAATCATGATGGTAATGTATAATTTTCAATATTGTTTACAGATTTGATATATTAGAAAGTGTATCGAATATTTTTATAGAAAAATACTTTCTGTATTGAATATTTTTATTAAAAAATACTTTACTAAAAAAATTTTTTACATAAAGAATATTTTAACTAAAACATATTTTATCTGAAGAATATTTTTACTAAATGATATTTTAGCAAGAAATATTCCAATTACAAAATACTTTGGGTAAAGAATATTTTTATTAAAAAATACTTTTCCAAAAAAATTTGTTAGGTAATAAATATTTTAACTAAAAAATACTTAAAGAATATTAAAGTAAAGAATATTTTTATTTAAAATACTTTTCCGAAAAAAATTGTTAGCTAATGAATATTTTAACTAAAAAAATACTTTGGGTAACGAATATTTTTAAAAATGCTTTTTGTATTGAATATTTTTATTAAAAAATACTTTGCCGAAAAACTTTTTCAGCTACAGAACATTTTTACTACAAATTATTTTAGTAAAAAATAATTCATCAAAAAAATAATTTAACGAAACAAAATTACTGAAATTAGATTTCTATTTATTATCTCTAATTTTGTAAAAAAAAATGTAGTTGAATGGTGAAAAAAAATGCCGAGGAAAGAATTTTTTTACCTAGATGGAAAAATTTTTATAAACTGAAATTTTTAGTGATTTATTTCTCAATTAACTTTTTTTTGGGATTGTTGTTGGAAATTTTGTTTTTTCATTTTTTTTTTCTTGCGGGTCTTTTGTATTAAAAGCTTTTTCAAGTACACCCACCTAACCAACGACATGTTTGACTACGATCGTTCGATGTAGAACTTGTCTACAAGAGCGAGGGAGAAATAAAAACTCCCATATATAAGATTCACATCCGTGATGTTGAGCAAACGCGAGGGGCGTGAAAAAATCTTACACCTCATGTTTTCTTATTCACAATTATTCGATTTTTTTTTCTATTTGAAAGTGTTTTTTTTTTCATGTTTGAAAACAATGAATTTCTCTTGAACTTTAACCTCTTATTTGACATTTCACTCGGGAAATTTAATTTCTCAAAAATATTTAACTTTCAGATATTTTTCCTTGAAAACAAAAAAAAAATTTCTGTTTTAATTTCTTTTTTTCATTTTTTATTTCCAAAAATATTTTTCTTTGAAAATAAAAAAAAAAGTTTCTTTATCGTAAAAAAAATGTTTCACAAAAATCTTCTCTCTCGATTTTGAGAATGTCTAGATATGAAAAAACAAAAAGAAAAAATTGAAAAATAGAAAAAAGTGGATATAGTGAAAGGTTAAGAATGAGGTTTTTGAGAATTTTTTCCTTTTGATACACGTGCGAAGGGGTTGGGCATGCTTGACATCCGAAGCCAATAAATCGAGTGTTGCAAGGTCTGATTTGCATGGAGCTAAGACTTAAAAATTCTGACGCAGCTGCTCTCTCTATCTTGTAGGCTGAAAATCGTGGAGGAAGATTTTCCCATAGGTTTATGTGTACGAAAATATAGGAGAGACCCCCAGCAAAGATATAGGAGGCAAGAATGTTTAATTATTGTCCATTCCTCGCATATAATATTGAAAATAGAAATATGGTCATTTTTTAATCCTCAAGCGTTGAAAATTTTACCGAGCGTAAGGTGCAAAGAAGGGGTTGAACGTCTAGTTTTAATATTTAGGGTGTCTAAGAATAGAGTA